AACTCGCGAATCGAACGATTTTAACAACTATGGGCACAGGGGCAAGACAATTATTATGCCACACAGAATATAGACCATGAATATCGACTGGGGGCAATGAAACAATGGAGGAATTTAATCTCTTCCATTGGTAATGATTATTCCAATAGATGCCACCATCATTCACTTGGTCGGCAAGATATTGATGATCATATGCAGAGTTTGGGATTGACATCACATGAAGGATACATGCCTTATGGACATCATCAAAATAGTGGTATAGAATATAGCCATACACATGAATTATATGGATATGGTATCCCTTCATAACTTGCAAGGTTTACTAGTACTAATAGTGAAGGGCATTATACCCATCGTCATACGCATCTTGAGAGATCTACTAGTACTAGTACTGGTGGTTTTTATGATCGTGTTCTAAGGAGATATCATGATGGATCTTCTAATACGACATCGGATAGTGTCAACTTTTATGGATATGATCAGTCTTTTGCTAGTAGTAGCCGTGAATATCTTGGTTTTGGATACTATCAGCATGGGAACTAACCAGTACAACCTCCACAGTCACATTATTCTGATTATGGGTCATCTAGCCAATCAACTCAACCAACTCAATCAGGCCCGTATTCACACTTGTACTCTTATCCTTATGGTGGATATTATCCTAATTTGTATTATCCTAGAGACAATAATGACGATTTTGAGTCTCATTGTATGTGACAATGATTCTGGCTCAATATGTTTCTAAATGCCTACATTGAATATTGATAATGATAATTATTTTTGATAGCGATTTTATGTTTCATTTTAATTATGTTTAATGTGTTTTTAGATGTATTGTGGACATATAATGCATGAATGATGATGTTTATATTTTTAGAATTTTTTTATAATTTTTTTAAATTTTTTTGGAGCTTCTATCTTGCGTTTTGAGAGTATTGACCGATACCACATTGTGACTGATGTGTATTGGCACCCTTCGACTCGATGGCTGATACTACGACTTTGAACCATACTCCCTCAACTCCATTAGAGCTGTCCCTTTGGCGTATCACTTGGTTATGAAGTTTTCAATAGAAAATAGAGTCGGGGTGGTGAGAGACGATCAACGCATCGCCAGAAAATGTTATGTAGTGTCAATGAGGTAGAGGGAGGTGGAGTCCGTTCAATTGGAAGACCTAGACATGAGAGACGAGATCGAGACCCAACCTACATCGTCAGAGTAGCTAGAGCCGGTGTAAGTTGACGAATACCTCAGGCACGTGGTCTTGATAGGCTCAATATTACTCTTGGATATCAAAGATAGACTTATTCTCTTCTTGAAGGAGAATGCTGATGTTTTTTCCTAGTCATAAGAAGATATGGAAGGAATCGACCCCGGGGTAATAGTGCACCGGCTCAGCGTCGATCCTAATTGCAAGCCCATTGGATAGAAAAGAAGGAGCTTCGCCCTAGAAAGACATAAAACAATCAACGAAGAAGTGGCTAAACTAATGCAAGCTACGACCATTAGAGAGGTCGACTACCCGACCTGGCTAGCCAAGGATAGTTTCCCTCTACCCAGGATTGATCTTATAGTCATAATTCCACTAACTAATCATTTCAAGTTGAGCAAGAATTCTTGTCCCTCATTGAAGAAGGAGATAGAAGATATGACAACGGTTCCGTACTCTTCAGTAGTTGGGAATCTAATGTACGCAATGTTGTTTAGAAGGGTAGACATTGCCCATGCAGTGGGCATGGTAAGCAGGTTTCTTTCCAATCCAAGGAAAAACATTGAGAGGTTGTCAAGTGGATTCTCAAATATCTTAAGGGTACATCGAAGATATGCTTGTGTTACGAGGGAGTTGAACTAGTTTTGGAAGGTTATACAGATTCAAATATGGCGGAGATCTTGATGGTAGATAATCTACATCAGAATTTCTCTACACTTTTGCAGGGGGAGCTATGTCATGGCAGTCAAGGCTGCAGAAGTGTATAGCTTTATCCACGGCATAGGCTAAATATATTGCTGCAGCAGAAGCTGGTAAAGAAATGTTGTGGTTAAAGCGATTTTCTCCAAGAATTGCATATTAAGTAGAAGGAATATGATGTGCGTTGTGATAGTCATAGTACTCTAGATTTGAGTAAGAACTCAATGTATCATTCCCAGACGAAGCATATTGATCTTCCCTATCACTAGATATGCGAGGTGATGGAGCAACAATTGTTGAAACAAGTAAAGATCCATACAAAGGAGAGTCCAATAGACATGTTGACAAAGGTGGTTACTCGGGAGAAGCTTGAGTTATGGAGAGACATAGCTGAAATGAATGTCTAATTACATTCTTTTTTTAAGGGTTTTGGAGGGGGAGAATTGAAGGATCCGGAAGCCTCATCCAAATTTTGTCGACAGAATAGTTGTCGCTGAAAATTTTATCGCCAGAGTTTTCGTCAGCTAGAATTTTTGGGAGGCCTCCATTTTTTTTTGGCTAAAAAGTCCCTATAAATAAAGAGTTTAATGAAAGTCAAAATCATTCCAAAAATTAGTGAGGAAAAAACATAGAGAGAGATCCCTTAGAGGTCTTGAGAGTTTTCTTGTGTGAAATTTTTTTATATTTATTTCTAGAGAGAAATAAAGAATTCCTCTTTGTTTATATTGTGTTAGTTGTGATTTTCTGGCTCTAGGTAACCAACAGGAGATATGTGTAGATCTTTCATCATGATTACATATTTGGAGTGAAAGACACTATCTAGAGGGGTTGAATAAGTTTTTAAACTTTTCGCTTAAACAATTACAAATTAAAACCTATTACTACAGTAATTACCTATCTTCTCAAGGTTTAATCAATTAATGGTGAGAACCCACATGAACTTATGAAGATTAGTGCATTAATTTTAGCAAATAATCACTCAACACTCAATCTCCCATGGGGATCTCAATCCAATGACCCAAACCCTTGGTATGCTATTATGGATGATGAAGGTATTCAATAAAAAATACAATGGAATACATAGTGTGCGTGTGTGCATCAAATTGCAAGTGTGTATGAAAATACGATAAAGAACACAAACAATTTGTTAACGCGGAAATCTTTCTCGAAAAAACTGCGGGAAACCTTTTTAGTTTACCAAAACTTAATTCACTACCCTGAAGTCAGTTCATAAGTACTTGAGTCTTATATCTCAACCGGTTAGATGTTCCATTTCTTTAATAAGTCTCTCTACTAAAATGCCTCTCCGACGCCTTGTGTATCTTCACTTGGAGTCATACTGCAATAGATTCTATAGGTCTCGAGCAATCTTGGGAACACCAACAATCCTCGACATGCACATTCTATTCAGTTTAGTCTTCAATCAATCAAGATCTTCTTCACAAAGATGTGATTTGTGAGTTTGAATAAGAATCAGCAGATGGTAGCTTTGGGTTTAGGAATCTAGGGTTGTGGTGTGATTTTTAAGGTGTAAGAGACAAGATTTCGGCTCACAAAAGAGATACCCTAGGTTGGAAAAGACACCCCCTATTCATAAGCTCGGAATAAGGGTAGTCTTGGTCAACAATAAATTCAAATTCGCGAACAATTTCAAATTCAAGGGTGGTCCCTAGTGCTCCTCCATTTGGCCTTTTCTCCTTTTCTTTCCTAAGTCATAAAGAGCCTACTTTAGTGAAGGCTAGCAAGCATAGGTTGGTCCTTACTAATTTTTTAAGCGTAAAATCAAGCCAAAAATTTGTCCTCTTGAGCACTAAAGGGCATTGCTCAAGAGGAGTCTGAAAATGGCTCAAACTATGTTTTTAAAACACAAAATGGTCAATTCTATGTTAACAATAATTCTCCTAAGCCTATTAAATCAAGAAATTATCTTAGGTCTCTAGGCCATTACCTTGTCTGAAGCATGATTTGATGCACGATCTCCCCCCTTCAACGACGCTTTCGAATCTTCATCGTTGATGATCATGGAATAGGTTAAGATTTACATGAACTCCAATAAATAGTGTATTTAATGCAGTCACTTATTTCACATGCAATAAAGGTAGTTGTGCTCTTGAAGTCCCCTTGTTGGAAGTGGCCTAGGGTTGGGATTGGAGTGAAAATATTTTTTTGGTTGGTTTAATTTGATATGACTCTTTATAGGCTATAAAATTTTAAAAAGTTTGATGACCACTCCGTAGTGTTTGCTAAAGCATTAGGGTAATGCTATTGGGACCTGATTTTTGGACCTAAATAAGTGACCTGATGATATGACAACTGAGGTGTCCTTACCAACTCAGCAACTTAAGCCACCAAATTTCTTAAAAAAAAAAACTTAAAAAATCAACAACTTAAAAAAATCTAATTTCATCAAAAAATCAGCCATCTTTTCACATTCTCTCTCCCCGAACTAGCACACTTTCTTCCCCAAAGCCCTAAAATTTCTCTTCTTCTTGAACTTCGACAAAGTACCCTATACGCTAATCTTCAATTGACGCTGGCAGCATGAATGACGAGCTTGTTCACCGAAAAAAACCCACCTCAACGACAAGCCACAAGCAGTAAACCGATCCATTCTTCATCTTCCTTAGTAAACATCATTTGAGATCAATGCCGATGTTCTTCCTTCTCATCTTCCAGTTGGCTACATCTTTTCACTGAAGTCATAGCCGTTCTCTTCCCTCTTCATCTCTTTGTCGAAGTACACATTTGTCCCGAACATCTGTTGAAATTGACTCCACCATAGTCGGCTCTACAGTACGTGAATTTCATTTTATTTATTTTTTGGGTAGTAATTGGAGGTTGATTCAATTTGTTTTTTATTGTTATATTTCTAGTTTTTTATTTTGATTTATATATATATATATATATATATATATATACAAACAAAGGTTTGATTTATAGATTTGTCAAACACAAAAAAAATTCATTTCCTTTTGCTGGTTATTTTGAAGCATAAATAAATTTCTTTTGTTATGGTGTTCAGGCATATTTTGCGTTAGACAAAATTCTGGTTAATCAACAAAGCACGTGTTGCAGTAAAATTTTATTAGAATGGAAGGTGAATCTTCAAGTAGTTTGCAGTTGATAGAAGAAAATGTTGTGATTGAAATGATGAATGTAGTTGATGTAGACAAGCCTAAGGTTGGGATGATGTTCGAAAGTTATAAACAGTTGCTTGAGTATTACACAGGTTATGGTAAGCGGTTAGGGTTCTCAGTGAAGATAAGATCACCAACAAAAGGGGATGATTGAAAGTTGAAATACGTGACTATTACTTGTTCTCAATTAGGCAAGTCAAAGTCCACTTCCAAAAATCCATTGAAGCCACATCCAAGCATAAAAGTAGGTTGTAAGGCTAAGGTCCTAGCAATTTTGTGTGCAGATGGAAAGTGGCAATTGAACACTGTCATGCTTGATCATAACCATGAGTTGAGTCCAAGCAAAGCCTGATTTTTTTGATGCAATCGAGTGATGAGACCACATGTGAAAAGGAAGCTTGAATTGAACGATTGAGCAGGAATTAGACTAAATAAAAATTTCACCTCGTTTGTGGTTGAAATTGGGGGGCATGAAAATATCTCCTTTTTAGAGAAGAATTGTAGAAACTATATTGAGAAAATAAAGCGGTTACGGCTCGGGGAATGAGATGCCTCTGCAATACAAAAATATTTCTTAAAGATGCAAGCTAAAAAATGCAAATTTCTTTTATACAATGAATTTGGATGATGAGGGTCGATTAAGGAATGTGTTTTGGGCTAATGCGAGGAGTAGGGCAACATATCAAGAATTTGGTGATGTTATTACATTTGATACTACATATTTGACATGTCATTTGCTCCATTTGTCAGTTTCAATTATCATGGGCAATCGACTTTGCTGGGATGTGGTTTGATCTCCAATGAAGACTTAGAAACATTTACTTGGTTGTTTCAATCATGGCTTGCATGTATGTCTTGGAAAGCTCCACATGCCATAATTACCGATCAAGACAAAGTCATGCAACAAGCAGTTGAGATTTTTTTCCCTAGTGCTAAACATCAATGGTGCTTATGGCACATCATGAAGAAATTGCCTGAAAAGTTGAGAGGTTATGAGTAGTATGAATCCATCAAATATTTCTTGTAGAGGGCCGTTTATGATTCATTAAGTTGTACTAAATTTGAAGAAAGTTGGAATGGAATGATTGAAAAGTACATGCTACATAATAATGATTGGTTGAGTGGGTTGTACAATGAGAGGCGTTGTTGGGTGCCAATCTTTGTAAAAACCATTTTTTGGGCAGGAATGTCTACCACACAACGAAGTGAGAGTAAGAACTCATTCTTTGATGGCTATGTCAACTCTAAGACTACCTTGAAACAATTTGTTGAACAATATGAAAATGCATTGAAAAGTAAGGTGAAAAAGGAGAACTAGGAAGAATGTAAGTCTTTATCTTTGCAAGTCCCTTGTATAACCCCTTATGACATGGAGAAACAAGTTCAAAGAGTTTACACTATCTCAAAATTTAAGGAGCTCCAAAGTGAATTGATAGGGAAGATGTATTGTGATGTGACTTCGGTCAAAGTGGAAGGTTTGATTTCTGAATACAACGTATCTGAGGATATCATGATTAAGGAGAAAAGAAAGAGTGCAAATTTCAAGGTTTGGTTCAATGAAAAAGATTCTGAAGTGAAGTGCAATTGTTGCTTATTTAAGTATAGAGGAATGATATGCAAGCATGTAGTGGCAGTGTTAGTTCGTAGAAAGATTTACTCCCTTCCTAATAAGTACATCATACAGAGATGGAGGAAAGATGTGAAAACATGTCACACAAAGATTAAAATTAGTTATAACTGTTTGAGTGTCACACCTAAAGCAGAATGATTTGATAGAATGTGCAATGCTTGTAGCGAGTTGGCAAACTTGGCTGCTGAATATGAAGATAAGTGCACGTTTGTGATGGAGTGTATACATGATCTAAAGGAGAAACTACAACAAAACAAAGGAGGTAGTGGAAGATATCAACCAAGTCCCAGCTCGATTTTTGGTAGAAACTCCGATGATGTAAATGATATATCAAAGGATAGGAATATACTTACTCCATTAGCAGTTAGAAGTAAAGGCCGTCCACCATTCAAAATGAAACAATCAAAAGTTGAGCAAGTTACAAGGAAAAAAAAAGAAAACGAAAAAGAAGATGTTATCGCATGGAAATCATACCACTAAAGGAGAAGAGGTGTGAATAAAATGACAATTTTTAAAATAATAATGTAGTAATTATTTCCTTTTGTTATTTTATTTTTTGTAGGATTGCCAACCAAGTGAAAGTGATGCCATTGGGCTTGTTGATGGTCAACCCACGAGTGAAGCGATTGATGTACGTGGAACACAAGAAATTATTGGGATGATAGTATGACATCAACATCCAAATTATTGTTATAATATTTGGATGTTATTTATTATTTGGTCTATCTTAATTTTTTAACTCTAAACATGTAGGATTTACGGATTACACAAACGGTTAATGTTGGCATAAGTGATGGTCAATACTCCTCTTTGCAATTTTATAATGTGAGTTATGAAAATTGTATATGTTATTATCTTGTTGACATCGTAGCTTTTTTTTATTGTATTAATCTACTATTTTTTTTCTGTGATAGAACACTATGGCCTTGCTATGGCGGGTTACTCAAAGAGGTCTTGGAAATCATTTCATGGTTAGCAATCTAAGATTCATTATAGAAGTTCTTTTTTTTAATGGTTGTACTATAATTTCAATTTATGAAATTTCTTATTCTTGTTTACCATAAGCAATATCTTTCTTGGGATGGTGAATAGGGTATGCACCCTGTGCCTCATTCTAGCTCCATGCTTTGTTCTAGCTCTAAAGAAATGGTAGACATTTTGGAGTTGCCAATTACGTATTCAACGTCAACGTCTACTGGCAAGTATATTTGATGAGTTGGAGAGAAATTTAGGAATTTTTGTTTTTTTATTCTTAAACTTGAATCAACGATTCATTGTACTGTTTTTTCCTATAGCAGGTACAAAAAGAGGAAGATCGTCTAGTTTTGCAAGAGGAAGATTATAGTGTTTTGTGTCCACTTTGTGTTACCCAGTCCATCTGACGTGATTTCTATTGCTATGGTGGCGTTGATTTGCATTGTTATACAAGAAAAAGAGTACCTAATTGTGCAAGAGAAGACTATAATTAGTATTTTGTGTCTATTTGAGTTACCAATGTTGTATTTTTCTAATACTTTTGGATACTTTGGATATTTGTAATACAATTTAAGGGTTGAATTTCGCCTTTTAATAATACATTATTGTTGTTTGAATATTTGCTTAATTTTATCACTTGGTTAATTTTCTCATCAAAATCTAACTATATGACATGCGCCTATTTTACACAGGCAATGATCCTGGTTTGTGTGGTTGTTCCTTGGATTTGTGTGGTTGTATGAATGCTACCAATTTGTGT